GTAGCACAGCAAGAAGAGGACGGTATAAAACGTTTTTCATTGTTTGCCTCAAATTGGAATGCCCTTGAAGCTCCATCATTTCTTTGAGGTTCTTCTTATGAACTTGACTTACAAGGGTCTGATTTGTGGGTGTGGTGGGGATATTGAAGCAGACATTCTTTACTAATTGGCTCCCCTCAAGAGTATGCCACAATGAGTGGAGGAAAAAGACGTGTGGTTCAATGATACAGCACATTTTTCACCTACAAAGTCCAAGACTCTGAGCACTGGCCTAGCTCGCGTAAATGGGGCCCGAGTGGCCTCCTGTTTATTTATTCTAGCATTAAAATGTATCTGCCCTTAGCCTGCTGTCACGCACTACATATATAAATTTCTCGTAGGATTTGTTTGCAATACGACTATCTGCTGTTAAGGATCATTACAGGAACCCAGGCAAGCAGATTTATGTAATGGCTGCGATCTTCAAGCGAATTGCACTAATTAATGCGATAAGGTCGAACCATTTGGTGCCTTCACTTACCTTACCTTTTTCCGTTTAAAAGATATTTTAAAAAAAAATTTAAAAAAAATATTTTAAATTATTTTTTTATATTTTTGAAGGATTAATATTTAAAAAAAAATTGAAATCCTACCCAAATTAGGTTTGGAATTGCAGATTCTCCTAATCAATATGCCCGGTCGAGCCAGCTTTTACAACTATAAATCACACATGCTTATTATTTTGATAATTAATGATTATTTAACCTTTTTTTTCCTGCTAGTCAAATGAATTTTTTTAGGAAAAACAATATGCAGATTTTTTTAATATGTTTTTTTTTTACAAAAAATCCTAACAATAAATCAAAATATTTATACATATATTTAATTAAATAAATTAAAAACTATATATTTCAAAAATAAGAATAAAAAGTATTAAATATTTATTCGACTTATCTTAATAGGGGTCGGATAGTTTTTTTCTAAAGTAAAAAAATGGATGTGTATGAATTATTAACATGTTTTTCAACATTAAATAAAAATACAATTGTGAGTTAAAAAATCAATATTTATATATAATAAAATAAAATGATAATCAGATATATTAATAAAGATATATAAAAAAATTATTTTTTAACATGGTAGAAAAATGATATAAAGTTGCAATTACATTTAATTGTATCATGATTCTTCAAATCTAAGAATTTAAAAATGTTATTCACACAAAATAAAATAAATCTTAAAATATATTAACTATGATAATATGAGAAAAAGTTGCAAATAGCAATGCAATTCTAAAATAAAAGGATAATCTTGTAAAAGTAAAAGATATGTAAGTATGATATTTAACTCAAATTCTCTCTTTTTATGTAAATAATTTTTTTTATCTTAAAGGTCATTGTTTCTTATCAAAAATAAATTATTTGTATTTTTAAGAATATTTTTTATTTATATAAAACATAAATAAATTATAAATAAATTAGAATAATCTCTTTAAAATATTAAATATATACAAAATAAATAAAAAGCAATCACTGTTTAAAAAAGATAAATAAACAATCTAAAAAATCTAAGAAAATGAATATTAATTTAGATATAAGTTAAAGAAGTTATTTTAAAAAATACTATCAATTAAAAAATTAAAAATTAAAAAAATCAAGTATTACTAGATTTAGCAAATTAGCTCTGCATGCTTGGTTAATTTTGAAAAAAAAAAGAAAAGGATATGCTTTATTAACAAAGAAAAAAATAAATATAAAAAAAAATAATGATAAATAAATTAAGTGTGAAGTGATAGTATAAAGGAAAAAAAATCAAAGCAAGTTTTTTATTCAAAAAAATGCATATGAAAAATTACAAACCTAGTACTCATAATAATTAAAAAATATATAAATATAATTTTATCATCGTTACAGTAAAATATTTATAAAATTACTTTTGTTTTTTCATTTTTTTATAGTATATTGTGTAATAATGAATGGAACATCAGATTCTAGATATTCCTCGTTATTTTGACATTTTCATTATTAAAAAGAAATATATAAGAGTACTTTTGCACGAGTAAAAAATTGAAAAGATATTTTTATGAGCCTTCAATTCTCCGACCACTAACTGGAAAGCAATAAAAGCCCCAACTTCACTAGTCAAAGCCACCGCCAAAATCCATCACAAAATAGCTCCGCCAATTACGCAGCCAGTCTGCACCTTTCTCAGTGCAAATGCCAGTTGCCCCTTTCACACATCCCAAAACGTAAGAAAATCCCGTCACTAACTATAATAATCCACACGTAAACCAAAGCAACTCCTCCTTGCTGCAACAATGGGTCGAGAACAAGAAGAAGGGGAAGGGGGTGAAGAGTACTTGTTCAAGATAGTGGTCATAGGAGACTCTGCTGTTGGGAAATCCAACTTGTTGTCAAGATTTGCTAGAAATGAGTTTGATAGCAATTCAAAGGCTACAATTGGGGTGGAGTTCCAGACCCAAGTGGTGGATATTGAAGGCAAAGAAATCAAGGCACAGATCTGGGACACTGCTGGTCAAGAGAGGTTTAGAGCTGTCACCTCTGCTTACTATAGAGGTGCTGTTGGTGCTCTCATTGTTTATGATATCACCAGGAGGACGAGCTTTGATAGTGTTAAGAGGTGGCTTGATGAACTTGGCAGTAAGTTTCTCGTTCTTGTTCGTTCTTTCTTCTTTCTGTTTGGTTGCTGAGAGAATCGAAATGTTAATTGGTTGTGGCTTTGATGGGCTCAATATTTTAGGTATGTAAACTATAATATTGTTTTATTTGAATGTTAGGAATAGCTTAAAAAATTCATCTTCTCATAAACAAATGGTAAAACAACATGAAATGTTGCAGATCAAACATGGAGCCTTATTAACTAGTAGATGAGTGCTGAGCAGAAATCGACTCTACTCTGCCTTGCCATATGCTAATGTTGCAGTAGACCAGTAGCATCTTAAAAACGGAAAATGCAGGGTTTTGAAGTATCTTAGTGATTGTTTTCTTAAGTCTAATACTTCATTCATACATTCGAGTCTAAACCGATAGCGCAAATATATGTGGCTTGTGAAAGCAAAGGGTAGAAAAAGCTTAGTTATAGCAACATTTGTACTACATTATGATGATCCCTATGATGATCAAAGAGGATTGATATAGCAATTAGATTTATTAGCATCTTAAATCCAGTTTCCTCTCTTCAGGACCCCCAACGGTGTAACAATCTAGGCATTGTTAGTTTAAAATGAACATTATTGGTACCATGACATTATAACTTGAACAGTGATTGGCGAAAACGAGAGTCAAGCACTACTTTCTGCTAACTCAACAGCCACTATCAACTTAGAGTGACCTTTCAGGATGGTTGGCCCATAACCAATCCAAGCATGAAGTGGAAAAGTGGGGGAAAGCAGGTATATGGACTCTTCACGGATATGTATGGTGCAAACATGTTACAAGGTCTTAAAGAGTGTAGTTGTTGATTTTCAGTACTGTGGAGTGCTTTGCTCACTTGTTGTGCTGCGAGCCTTGATACCTATATACCTTGATTTTGCTGGACCTGGCACCAAAGGACATACCGAAAGAGTACTTGTTGAGATCAAGGTTTAATTGAGTTGAGTTGTGCCCTGTTTACCATAATTATCACCTCCCATCCTGCTTAGAGTCAATAGACAGTTCTTTATCCTTTGGATCTGGGAATTTGAGGAGAGTGAAATCTCAGTAGTCTGATAACAGTTTGATTCGATAAATGTAGATTCTAATGATACTAATTGGTAAAAGATTTTGTTCAAATCCTTTACTGAAAAACAGTGACAGTTTGGAAACTAAAGAGCATTTGATATTTGAAATATGTGAAATTCTAGCTTCTGTTATCCAATCAAGAAAAGAAAAGGTCTTAGCCTAACAGGTGTTTTTTCATCCCTTCAAATTATTCTTTCAGAATTGTCAAAAACTTGACATTTTTTTGCATAATTTGCAGCTCATTGCGACACTGCGATTGCTAGAATGCTTGTAGGGAACAAGTGTGATCTTGACAGTATCAGAGAAGTGAGTAGAGACGAGGGCAAGAGCCTTGCGGAGGAAGAAAGTCTATTCTTCATGGAGACATCAGCCCTTGATTCTACTAATGTTGAAGCTGCTTTCGAGGTTGTTATCCGTGAAATCTACAATAATATGAGCAGGAAAATCTTAAACTCTGATTCATACAAGGCTGAGCTGACAGCCAATCGAGTAAGCCTGGTGAATGGGGACAACTCGTCCAAAAAGTATGGCTTCTCTTGCTGCAATACATAACCTCATTTCTTTCTTGAGTGTAATTCGAGTCCGGTGTTTGAATTCTTTTTGTCAGATCGGAGCTGCATTTTACTTACTATTATCCTTGGCAACAAGTATAAAAATCGTTTAAGCTTTTTTTCGAACTAGTAGTTGCCACTGCGTGTGTTGTATGATGTGACTTGTGTTTTGAGAATCCTAAACGCTGATGATGCTTGTACTACCTAGTGACCAAGGAAAAACAGATACAGAGACCGAATATTTTTACTATGGATATTTAAAATTACGGCAGCGGTTGTTTTTATTTTAAAAAAAAAATATTAAAAAAACATTTTTTTATATTTTTTAAAATTATTTTTTATCAATTCATTAAAATTACCTACATGTAAAAATATAAAAAAATCAGAAAAATACTTTTAAAATGCTAAATCAACCTTGCTTTTAATATTAAAAATCAGACGTTCCAATTTCCCTTTCCATCGCTCCTGATACCTTACTCCAAAAATGATATCATTTCTTGAAATGAGAAGAGTAAAGTGAAATATGCTTATCTCATCTGGCCATACAAACCAAGGTTGTCATTAATTCTATATTAATTGTTAATTTTTATGCAGATAGCTGACGTACTCCGCTATTAAAGAATTAATTAAATAATTTACATATCATTATTCAAAATCACAAAGGGAATCACATGCAATACTCGTCAAAATAGCTAGTTTCCACTAAATAGTTCGATCGGCATTTATGCTTTCTGCACCCCCTGATTTGGAATCCAGGCAAAGACCAATACAAATGGCAGTGTATACAGCTTCATATACGTATATTATAATAATAACTTTCCCATAACAAAAACTAAAATTGTGTTGGAGTGCAAGGTCCAAAAAAAAAAATTAAAAGTAAGAAGAGCTCTAAGGATGGATTTACATGACTAGAATAAACAAATGGCCGAATACTGAAGTCTTCGGAACTAAGATAAATACCATTTACACTACGCTATAATGGAAAGGCACATGTTTTCACCACATATAATGGGAAAGTATAAAAGAAATTAGGGCTTCCTCAAAGCAGATGCTGCACCCATAACAACAGCCAGTACAATGCCGAGACCGGCCCCGAGGGAGGCGCCGACAGCTGCAGCGGTTAAAGAAGATGCCTTGGCTTTAGAGTTTCGACTGGCATCTATTGCCAGTGCATGTTCTCGTGCCAGCTCTGCCAAAAGCCTATCTCTAGCAAATTCCTTGAATCAAAACCAACAAGACATTCAGAATTTGTCCGAAACATGTCAAGGAGATCGATATAAATATCACAAAAGAGTAGGACGTGCAGCATGCACATGGTTTCATGCTTGATGTGTATAGAAATCCAGTCAACATTGTTAAATTAAGTCGACTTCAGCATACGAAGTGTGAGCAAGTAAAAAGGCCATCTGATCAATGAGATCCAATCAACACATGGAAATTGGATGTCGCAGTTGTACCGGAGCATGTGGCAGACAGTGGAATGCAACTGTAGTTCCTATGTTTTGTTCTTTTCAAGCCACACCGATTGCTTGACTATCAATACCTTCTTTAAGTAATTTATTCCCAATGGATTTTCAATATGAGAAAAGAACGGAGCTTTTTTAATTGGATTACTTTTTTAATTGGATTAAGAGTCTATACCTGTAAAGAGGCCTCTTCATGGCTCTGCAGCACACGGTGGACAAGTTGACAAAGTGAGTTCACACCCTCAACAGCAAAAATGGTGTCTCGTTTCTGAAATGGCCACCGGACCAGATTAATTGGATCAAAACTAAGCTTTTGAGCACCTGTTGTCCCATAAGAATCTCCATTAGTTGCAGTCAATGACAATGAGGCACTTGCTGCACTGGACATGACATAGGGACAGGAATTGACAACTTCTGCAGTATTTGGAGATGCTTGGTACGCCTGCAAAACAGCATCAATTGCTGCCTTTTGTTGGTGTGCGCTCACAGAAAATTTGTTTGTTACAGCAATAACCCAAGGAATTCCAAGAACTTTAGCCTCATCTAATAGAAGTGAAAGGACTGGCTGTTGCTGTGATGCATTCAGTTTACTGCAACGAGGAATCTTATGGGAGAGGTTGTGCACAAGAATTATCAAATCTGTCTTCCTACCAAGGTCACGAATTCCCATCCACAGTTCATCCCTGAAACGAGAGACTTCCTTATGCAGCTCCTGCAATAAACAAACAAAACAAAAGGTCAAGGGTGTAGGAAATGTTAATGAGAAAAGGGCTCGCCAAAGCAGGCAGAATTTGGACACACTGCTATGCTTCAGCATTTTTGCTCCAAACTACAAGAACTCAAATATCACCGTTGTTTGTCCTAAACAATGGCTTGTGGAAAGAATAGAAAAAATTAAAAAAAATAATTCAGAAACAACTAAAAGAAGGCAAGTTCTCCCCACAGACTCACTGTCAGAACTTGGAACAAAAACCATAAAGGTTGGATTAAAGGAAAATGGGGGGGGGGGGAAAGGCTCTTACTGATGCAGGAGTTTTATTAAATCTATGCCACTTACCCTTCTGGAAATAAGAAAGACTTTCTACTAAATGCTGTACAACTAAGTTTGACAAGAAAAGAAAAGGGAGAGCCAGAAAGATTTATATCTACATGCATGCCAACATTGCAAGTAGAGTTCCAACAGAGATGCAGTGTGAAACATACCTGCAAATTTATTCCAGCTGAATCTGAGTAGCATACACCACCAGCAACACCTTCTTGAATATCAGCCTCTAAACTAATATTCTCAAAATTGGTAATGGTGGTTAGTCGGCCTTGACCCATAATAGCCTTGAAAAGAGAAGTTTTACCCGCACCCTACACAACAGAACTCATCATTGCATACATTGAGTGGAAAACTAACCAAAAAAAAATTGTGTAATCAGAGTTACTACGTTGAATATTCTCACCTCAAGACCAAGTAAGCGCACTCTACGTGTTCTGACATGGACCTCCTTTGAGACAGTTGCAAAATCACTTGTACAAAAAATACAAAAATCACTCAAACCATCTGGTTGGAGGAACTTCTCATCATTTCCTGAACTATTTTCTTTAATAAGATTCACAGCATCTGAATCAATAGAAGGAAAAACAGGCATAAAAGAATCTGTTACTATTGGGTGCTTTGGTGGTCGTCTCAGTGGTGCCCCAACTAAGACCCTTATCTTTTGTAATTCTGGCTGTGATCCATTATTTGAATAGTAGCTGGGTGCTGAAGGAAATGACTCCACTGTAGTTGAACACCTGGACGGCATATGCATTAACATAAATTAAGTAAACTAATAGCTTTCATTCATCACTTCTTGAGATATTATATTTTTTTTTTTTAATTGACCAATAAACTTAGCTCTAAGTAAATTCTAAATGCAGCACAAAAAAATATCTGGGCAGGTTGTGAAGAATTTAATTGACAACATTGACATTCACATATAGCAAAATATATCCATGGAGGCACACAATACTTGACAAGCATTGATGAAAACTCATTAAAGAAGTAAAAAATGGAGGGTACTGAAGCAGCATCATTGCCCAGGTGGAAAAGAAGCAAGCCAGGTTCAAAACAAACTCAAATTACAAGGCATGATGATTAGACTTGGCAACTGGGTCTGGTTGTGTCAGGTTCGGAGGTATTAAGGGCTCAAATCTGTGCGTCTTGATCCTAACCCTAACCCATCAGGTTTGGGCAAGTTCAGGCCATCCCACATGTTTGAGAGCATTTTTTTTCTTGCAGATGAAAAGATTTGACTATTATTACAAACTAAAATCTACATGCATGTATATGAAATTATGAATTGTGCACATCTCATACAATTATGATAGTTACCAAAACATAGCAATGAATTAGAAGTCAAAATTTAATCGAGTAACCTCTTGTCCAATTATTTCTGCATCACTTCTTGGTTTTCAAGACAATAACAATGATTGAAAATCGAAGTACTTGTTCTGTTTTAAAGATATAATACTTTCTCATATGGAGCAAACACATTACACATGCATTTTTGTTTCTATGAAAATTATCTCATAAGAAAAGAAAAGAGTGGCAGCATATTCAATTTTTTTCTTGATAAGCTAAACAAATTTGTCAAACCACAAATGCCATCTTTATATATGTGTGTGCTTGTATGTGTAAGTTAGACAACAATTGTGTTATGAAAACCGCCAACCCTTAGGCAAACCACTAACAATACAAAGAAGAACATCTAGATTTACAAGGAAAGACAACCAAGGAGAGTACAAATCTTAATGGAGAGTAGAAAAGGGAAAAAAAATGGATTGCTTTTGGTTTTTATTTAACCAAATGGAAGAAAAGGTTCGAAAGTTTTGAAGTAGCATTGTTTATCTATTACTTTAGCAGCTTGGTGTTTGGCAAACTTAAAGTTTACTATAATGCTTGCCCCAAGGATTACCCACAGGTCGTGTAGCCCAACCCCAAAAATTTCAAGTTATTTCAGGTTTGGTCTACCCAAAATAAGCAAAAGCTGACTTTATGTGCTGAAGGCATGCACAAAGAGAAAATAAGATCATCACCAATAAATGAGGAACATGCATACCAGATAGCATTCCAGATGAAGAATCATGATATGATAAGATGCCAAATGAATAGAACAACACCATTTATCGAATGGAAAAAACATGTGCATGCATTATGTGATTAGGTTGTGTAGATGTACTGAAAACATGAAGTTATAAGCACTGTTTAGCCCCATTTTGGATGCTCGAGATAACCTCTAGAAAATTCTATAGTGCATGAAAAAGAAAATAGGGGCAGACAAGGACAATACCAGTTACCATCTACTTGAGCATGAACCAGATTACAAAGGTGCAACCTAAAACCCGTGATATCAACTTTTAAGGGCTCTCCATTCTTATCATCAGGAATACCACTCCATCCAAGAGGAACAATTGAAGTAGCTGTGCGAATAACTGGTAAATCCACAATATGTGCAAGCTCTACAGCACCGGCAACTGCAAGCCCAAGCCACTGTTGCAAATGCGGAAATTGAGGCAGTTGCTCAATTCCTAGGAAAGATGATGTGCCATCCCCCATGCACATATCATATATTCTGCACACAATATATGGGAGACAATATGCATCTCATGCCAATTTTAACAAAAAGAAACTTGCATGTAAGAGAAGAATTTCCAAATTCCAAAACATAATGCAGGTGTATAAGCAATCCAGCTGCTTTACAATCCAACCATCTAGAAACCATGTTTTCCTGTTCCAAGAATGATGCAGCCTAGTAATTTAGAAAAAGGCAGATTTGTAATTTTGGAAAAATTTCTGTGAAGACAAATATTTGCAGAAATGTTGAGTGCCTTTTACTTGGGAAAATAAATTTCTTATTCAGGTTTCTCTTAATTGGTCATATAGAAATAGTTATGATTCTTATTTACAAATCCATACCAAGTAGGAATACGAATAACTCAAACCTATAAATATGCTCATAACGTTTTAATATGAGCATCAATGAATTATTATTAATAAATTGTGGCCTTTTCCTTTGAGAGTGATGCTTTCATTAAGGAGTGAATCCTTAAACCCTAGGTGAGAAGCTCAGGTTATTAATTAAGGAAATTCCTTGAATCTACTAGTGTGAGGCTAGTAGGTTTAATTCCGTTTTTCTATAATCTTTCTACTTGCAGAACTGTTCTCAACTACCACGTCCCTAAACAAAATAAAACATAACCCCAAAACACAGCTGGTTACAAACTTCCCCTACAATTGGATTACTGATTTCGAGAAGGAAGGTGAGGACAGGACCACTACATTTCTACCATGCCACCAAACTATTGATATAGAAGGAGACAAAAGGAAGAGTGCCTATGAAAAAGATGAGCATTAAATGCATCTACAAGCAATCATTTAGATATATGAGCAGCAACCTGAAACCTCCTTTTTTTGGAAAAGAATAGCAGAGCCCTACCCCTACGTTGACACCACTACCATTTGTTACTGAGTGAAAATTCCAGTGTTGCAATTAAATTGAATTCAAAATTCCAGGTAGCATAACTTGCCAACAGATTGGTGCTTAAATATTTGCTTGTTCACAACATCAATGAGCTATTAACCACAACAATTGTCATTGGACCCCTCACTGCACTTGCATAGCATTTCGTATCTCAAGCAACTGCCTCTTAAACCATTGAGAAACGGTGATAGCATTATATTCATTCACAATGTAACAAAGCTGGGACCACATAATTTCAGGAGAAATTTTATATAGGTTACCTGACAAGGTTTGGTCCCCAATATTACAACAGAAAATCTATGAAGAAAACTCTCAGCAATCAGCATCTATATCACCTACCAGTAAGCAATCTGGGCAAAGATGAATTTACAGAGCACCTACCATGACTAAGAGCAGTAACTAAAGAACCCACCCCCCCCCCCCAAAAAAAAAAAAAAAAAGGGGGGGGGGATATGGAGCATGTTTCCTTTCATCTTCAAAAGAGTTGGATTCAAATCAATGGGAAGTCCTTTTTCAGAAACAAGGGACAACATTACTGGATTAACAAAACTCTCAAACTCGAGTTTATTTCTAATATCCCAAACATGACACACAACTAGAGAGGAGGTAGGAAATCACTGAACTTCTCCTCCTGATTGGCAATGAACCTGTTTCGATTTATAACCTCGCATTACATTTCTGTTGGTAAAAATTCTTGTATTTTTCAGCTTCACAACTAACTTTCTCCCAAATGACACCTGCTCCTGATTGGCAATGAACCTGGTTCGATTTATAACCTCGTGCTGGTAAAAATTCTTGTATTTTTCAGCTTCACAACTAATTTTCTCCCAAATGACACCTGCTCACAAGTTATGGTAATGCTGGACAACTTTTAGCCTTGAATATGATGCCATGTGAAGAGTTCTTTGCATTCCATTTTAGTTGTCCAAAGAAAGAAGTGAAAGGTTAAGGGGAAAAAAAATGAGAAAGAGAAGAGCATTCAAAGAAGAGTAAAACATCTGCAGAATTTCCTATAGCAGAAAGTTGCAACTAAATTAGAACTGCGGCTGCATCATGTGAAATTAAAGCTAAAACTGATAAAGCATACAAGTACAACTATAAATCTAGGCATAATGATGGTTGCACATGTGAGGGAATGGAACACGCGCAAGCCAGCTGATATGATCGATAATATCAATCAAGATGAAAAAATCACACCAGCTGAAATTGCAGTTTAAGTTTTTCAAATACACCAAGTAATCTTCAGCGGACAACAATATGGTACCTTTGAAATCGAAACCTATATGACTTCATTGAATGTGATTGAAGTCGTTCCCTTAGCTCAGCAATCACAGATCTGACCTGAAAATGTCTTTGCCATAAGAAAGCAAACAAAATGAGAGATCCCAGAGTTTTTACCTCCTGGCTTCAGCAGATACTGGTGCACAAAACACTACTAAAAATTGTGCAATTTATCATGACATTCAAAAATCCTATCACAAAAAAAAAGAAGAAGAAGAAGAAGAAAGCTGGAGTGAAAACAGATGGGGTAAGCAAAGGGACTCGTACCGATGTCAATTTAGAGTACTCTGTACCCGACAGTAATTCCACTGATGAGTTCCCCAAGAGAAAGAGCTGCCATGAATGAAATATCTTTGTTAATAATTCATTACTGAGTAAGATGAGCCATGGAAACTATGACTTCTATGAGATAAGAGACCACTCATTGGTGCAATGGTAAAATATGTGGCTGACAACCACAACCACAAGGGTGTACATTCAATTTTCAAGAGCAGGTGATGCATAAAAAATAATGTGGTGTTTGGAATATCCGATGGGATAGGACAACCATGATATTTCAAATGCACTTGTTTTTGGTGCATGCATGGAAAAGGACAAATGACAAGTTTTGTACCCTCCTGTAGCCATAATTCCATGTCACCTCCCCAATGAGATAATTTTGTCCTGTCAGGTGTATACTCATCAAATAGACCCTATAAGAAAAACTGTTTCCAAAATTCCACTCCCATAACCCTACAATGTAAGACCTTAACGATGTACAGCCTTTTTATTCAATCAAATAATAAAATGAAACACCAGTGTCATGTACTTAAACTGAGGCCACCTTGCAGGACAAATAACAGATGCCTTGACCTAAATTTCCACTGCCAGTTGATTTTTTTACCTTCCTGTGGTGAACTTTTTAGTTGTATTTGGTTAAATCCAAATCAAACTTAGGCTTGGGTATCATGACAAGGAACTACACAACTAGGGTGAAGGAAATAAGAGCAGAGGCCGCATTTAACTGAACTAGAAACTTGGGTACTCCTCACATAAAAATGAAAAACCAGGGAAGTAAACAGCTAGAATGTTGGCACTGCCTCACATTCCACAAGGATGGTTGAGGATTGATGCACATCTTGATGGGAGACAGATTAGAAATCCAACAAGGTGTTCGTATCCAAATGTACCCCCAATTGCTTGCCTCCATCAACTGGATTAGCAAAATTGGGTTCAGAGGATGTGTCCGTAAACCAATTTACTTGATGTTGGCTATAGGAAACTTCCAGGGCGACTTATCCACAAAGGACTAATATTCCCAAGCAAGCTCACATGCCAAGATAAGACCACAATTCTAGCATAACTGTAAACTGTTCAAAAGTATCATTACTTCTCCCTTCTCACCAAAGAAATCCCTAGTGACCTATCTATCTTAATAGTCATGCTAGCTGAGATCATGAACCAACAAAAGGAAACAACAGTGATAATCAATGCCTGTTGTGTAAGGGTAACACTGAAGCAAGGGAGCCTAAGCAACTGAAAACCATATTTTGAGAAGGCCAAATAAAATTTATAGCGCAAAAGAGGGAAGCAAAGTAGCAAAGTTTTTGTTCAAGAATGTACGTTAACAGAAAAACACAGAAGACTAGTCCTAGGAGGAATACCCCTCATCACACTATTACATACTATCTTTTGAAAGTATCAATGAAAATTAAAGGGCACTCATCCAAACATGCTAATGGAACCCATTAAATGAAAGGAACAGAAACCACAACCAATCAATTTACCGATAATGTTTTTACAGTTCATTCATATTTCATCTCTCAAGCATGTTAACATGTCCAAAAAAAACCAACCAGAAAGCAATATAAAATAAAGTATCAGTTCATGTAATTACCTGACCAAATGGGACGTATGAAGGCAAATAAGGTACTCTATTCCAGTTCCTTTTATTCTCACTTTTAGCATTAGTTTTTTCAGCCACTTTTCCAGTCATTGCCTCGTTTGGTAGCCCATTATTATTGTCAGATAATGGCTTAAGAGATATGCCATCAGAACCCTCTTGGATTTCAAGAGATTGTGGTTCAGCTACATTCTCAATTGAAGGTCTTACAGAATTAGCTGCTGAGGTTGCTTCTATAGGATCAACTTGTTTTCCATTGTATTTATTAAATTGCCTTTGAAAACCTTCTAAAGGCACAAGTTTTGCAAGTCTCCAAAAAGAAGTCCGCACAGGGCCTAAGCCCATAACCAACTGCTCCCCCTCATTCTCTTTCGGCTTCTGTGCCCTTGGTTTTTCTGTTCTTTCCTCATGTTTTGACGTAATTCCACTGGAACTTTCAACCTCGGCGTTTGACAAAGGTTGAGCGTTATAATGATGAAAATAAGCAGGAGACAGGATGCGGGGCACCAAATCCTCTGGTATGCAGTAACTCTTAAAATGGTGTTGCCAGCCTTTTTTATGGACATAACTGAATGAGATTAGAGAAAGGAGAGAGAATATCATAAATTAACATTTTTTGCAGAAGAGAGCGAACAAAAACATGTATCTAGACTTTCAATTATTTCATCATGTGAGAGAGATGGCAATCAAAGAGGCGAAATTGAGCGTACTCTCGTAAAGCAGCATTCCCAACTGGGGGTTGAGAAAATGTGATGCATTTAACCTGGATTCTTTCATTTTCTTTTGATGGTGAGGATGCAGCAATGACCCTCAGAATGGCAAGGGTAGCTAAAGCTGCCACCTGAAAAAAACAGAACAGGAGAATATGAGAAATACAAAACCAAAGCAATTAATCCAAGAAGCTTACAGAGCAAGCCAGTCAAACTTACAGCTCCACCGAGTGAATGTCCACATAATACAAGTTTTCGATTCTTCTTCTGAGCAAGCTTGTACAATTCTAAAGCAGGAATCCCCTTAGCACGAGCCATGAAACCCTAAGATAAAATTTAAGGGGAAAAATCAAAACAGTAGATAAGTATAAATCTGCACCAGAACATGGACAGCTAAAGTCAATGATATAATTGAGAAATGCAATATGCTAGATCATAACAGTCAAAAGACATTGGGGTATACAATTGAACCCTATTGAAAGGTTGTGAAAATGATAGATTGCAAACTTACTCGATGGGCAGCAGGCTTAATTTGATCTTTTAGTTGTTTTGGTTTTGATTGGGAATCATTCAAACAATTTTCACCACTATCCTTCTGGTTTTCACATTGGCCAGATTCAACAGCATCCATCCGGACAGTATCCTCATGAAATATAGCACCTTGCAGTATATTTGCATCGGTCATGACATCCCTAGTCATAACAATTTCAATAAACAAAATCACCTTCTCAGAACCAAATGATCTTTCAACATCCAACCCACAAAATATCCACAATACTTACTTGTACTGCTTTGTTCCAATAAATGAAGCAAATAATGTGTCGCCTGCTTCTCCCAATAAGTACCTTCACAAACCTCCCCCAAAAAAAGCAAATAAGCCATAACATAAGCCCAAAATCAACAAGCACACCTTGAACAAATGTTCACCCACATATGCACAATCAAAACCTCATTCAAACTCTACATAAACAGAAACGCTCCGATTCATCCAAATCCCATTATATTTACACTGCTCTAAGGATAACTTGAGGTTGCATTGAGCACTAAAATAATAAGAACTCCAAGTGCAACATACATAAGAAAACAAATAATTCTACCATGTTTATCATATCAATTAAAAAGAAAAAAAAAAAAGCGAACCTGTGAGGTACGTGATCTGCAGACGGCTGCACGCGTTCCAGAGCAACGATTTGCCCTCCAAAATCAGCCTTAAATTTATTCACAACTCGAACCATCTCATCAGCAGGTCTCTATCAAGAGAATAAATAATTTTAAAAAAAAAATCTTTGATTTTCTAAGAAACCAAAAAGTAAAGTGTGGTTCAATTAATTTTGTTTCTACCTTGTAGACGCATTCAGAGAGTACCATGCAACATAGAATGTCCTGCAAATCGGCAACGGACTCAGCCTTGACGGCATTACAGAGATCGTGAAGCTGTTTCTTCCTGAGTTCGTACTCTTGTTGAATTCTCTTTCTGTGTTCTCTTTCGTCTCCGTTGATCCACGGAGGCCACCGCATTCTCCACTGCAGTGGCCCCCATGATACCTTGAGGATCCTGGCTCTCTGATCTCTGATCCATGCCTCTACTCTGTTCTGTATCGAATCCATTGAAGAAAGATTTTGAGAATTGGATTGGAAGGTGCGAGGAAACCCTAGCGACAGCGTGATTGAAAAATAGATTCGAAGGAGAAGGCGCCCGGGAAAGAGAAACGTGTGTGGTGACGGGTGACGGGTGACTGTGACTGCAACCGTGTCCGTGGAAGGAACTACACAGATGCCCTCTGGCTCAGCCAAATATAATAATAATAATAATAAACAAAGCACTGAGGGGCTTGGCCTAGCGGTGGCAGGAGTCAAGCTCTTTCCATCGCACATGGGTTCGAGTCCTGGTGTGCACGCCTGTCACCCCCGCGGTGCCTTACATGCCTACTGGGTTTGCAGGGTGTTCAGTGAGCTGTGGGGATTAGTCGTGGTGCGCGCAAGCTGGCCCGGACACCCCACGTAAATCCAAAAAAAAAAAAATAATAATAATAATAATAAACAAAAATAATAGTCACACTAATCTTATAAAATAATTTATTTAAAAAAAAAGAGAGTACTACAAATTTCATCAACCGAAAACATTGTTAAGTAATCTTATAAAATAATTTATTTGAATAATAATGCTTTTTTTTATTTAAGACAGCTGAATAAGTTATTTTAAAAAAATAATTTATGTAATTTTTTAACTTTATTTGGAAAGTTATTAGATAAAATTTAAGGATTTTTCGTGGACTTTATTTAACCATCACGGGTTTTACAATATCAATAATGATTAATGGGTGTGTGGTTGAAATTTGGGAAATACAGAAAATAATATTAGTAAAAATAAATTTTTATTACTTTTGTTCTTTCTCTTTTTTGTCTGGTAACTACGTACACCTTAAAAGGAAAATGTTTGTCTTTTTTTATATAAAAGTAAATTCCTCAATGAAAATTCAACCATATCCCTAATTAATTATCAACACAAAATTATATTTCCAATTAAAAAATAAAATGATAATATAATTTTAAGAAAAATAGGTCGATCATGTTTTTCATTTTATACATATTTATGAATCTTATAAAATATTTAATTAGATAACAAGATTTTTATTAGCCTATAATTTGATTTTGATTAAGGAAACTTTAAAAATACTTTAAATATATATCAAAAAAATCAAAAAATAAAATATAAAAAATTATAAGATAAAATTTCTTACAAGCGGTACACTGTAAGTTTGGATTAAATTGGATTCCTATGAACACAAGAACAAGCATTTAATTTTCCAGCACGTAAAGTCTCCGTCCGAAAAGAATTGGAAGCTCATTACCAATTATAAACGGCTTGACTATTTTACCATGGATCCCTCTACTGTTCACGCTCTCCCAGTTAATTATGAATTATATCACTGCTTTTTTATTTTTATTTTGGTATTCAAACTTTTCTACTTTTCTGGAAGGGGAGTTGAATTGAAAAATAGGAAACTAAAATAAAAAAAATAGATAATATAGGTGATTTTTTAGAATTTATTTGAAAAGTATATTTTAGTTTTTTATCTTTTTAATTTATTACAGTGGTCCTTTTAATTATAGAAAAAATAATTTTAGTACCAAACTTTATTTTTATTATTTTTCAACCCATTTAAAAGTGCATGAAAATTAAGATCTAAGCTCCCAGAAAAAATTTAGGATAATTTTAGGGTTTGACAAGATTTGTTTTGTTTTTGGAGCTTATGAATTTGCTTAAAATGGTTTTTATGACATTTCTATATGTGTTTTGAGTAAGAAATGAATGGAAACTTGGTGTGTAAAATGAAAGAATCAGCATCCCTGTATTTCTAGTCACCGTGATGGTTGAATTTTTAGGATTTCAATATGTTATTTATTTTTTTATCAAAAAAAGACAAAAAATATATTGTCCGCTCCATTAATTTCAGGAAAAAAAAATGACTCGCATGCGGACACTTTCTTTGCAGGTTGGGCACTGGCCTTGACTTACCAAAACCTCAATGCCTGACCTCATTCCTTTATTTTCTTAATTTTTTTTATAAATTATTGCTTTTAAAATGTATTTTTTTTTATTTACATCTTGGTTAATACCAATTCTCTGTGATTTTTTTTGTTTATTTAGCTTTTTTGAAATAATAATTATTTTTTATCATGTCGAGTGTATTTAATTATTTTATAATAATAGCGTGATTGCTATATAGCTTTTTTTTTGTATTTTATATAGATAAAAGTTATTTTTAAAATTAAAAACATTTATTTCTTTGTAAATTTTTTAATGTGTATAGCCTTTCATAATATTTTTATTTTATTTTATTTAATAAATTTTATATGCATGTTGATTTATGTTGCAGATTGATTTTCATAAATAAATTCATTAACCAAGCAAACGACCTGCATTACGATATTAAATATCTTAGTATACATCCATCTCTTAATTTTTCCATTTTGTTTGCTACTGTTAGCTATTTCTTTAGCTTAAATAACTATTGATTTATTTAATTAAATACTTGCATGAGATTTTTTATTCATACTTTGATTTTTTTAGAAAATAGCCTTTGTAGCCAGAATTTAAAAAAAAAACAATATTATGACTCATGGTAGTGCAAGAGGAAAATAGTTAATTAATATATATACTCTATATTCATAAGAAGAAAATTATATTTTTTAATGTTGGATGAGAAATCTTTTCAGTTTAAATATTTAAACTTAAAATGAAAAAATAATATTCTTTCAATGTGTGATGAATTTTTTTTTCAAAATAATTTTTTTAGCTTTATTATTTACAACATGTATGACTTACTCTCACATAAAGTTTTTAATTTTTTTTTCATATGATGTGTCAAAACTTTAAATTAACCTGGATTAATTCTTATAACCCATAAATCAACCTCTTAATCAAGTTAGAGGTTTGACAACTATGCTCAATTGTCTTCTTTCTTCTCTCTTCTTCTTTTTTGCCCACCCTCTCCCCTTGTCACAGTTCATAAAATAAAGTGCATGATAACTTTGAGTGATGTCACTCGACGAGTCAAGCCTCAAGTTTGTTTCTAGAAATTCATCAATTTGAATGCCAAAAATCTCAAGGTCACTGGAAACTTACTTGATCGTTAATTTTAGGGTTTTGATGGATTAATTAAGATACACGTGAGCTGACTTAAACATCCACAATTACCAAAAAAAATAAAAATAAAATTCATGATAAAAACATAGATATCACTCTAAATACTAGAACCAATGGAGTGCGCATACGTGTCTATGTACATATATAATATGCTTGTAGGGTAATAATTCATTGTAATTTTTAAAATTACATGACCAAATATAAAATTATAATAAATCATTACATTACATGATTTATTATCCATAACTTAACATAATGCAAATATCATACGATCACCTGTTATCTTTAAATACCTAATTACACAAATTAATTTTAATTTTAAAATGAAAAGATTATCTAAATAACACATGGTAAATGATGTTACATGAATGGGGTATCTTGATTTGGGTATCTTAACATTTTTAATTGGGATTTTCAGGGTAAAAAGATTAATGAATTCTTGTTTTTTTTTTTATTAAAAATAGGTTTAGCTCTGTTAATGTTTTAGTCGTTAAAAATCTTTATTAGTCTTTAGAGACCGGATAAAAAGATTAATTATATATAAAATGACGATATCACCTTAATACACCCTAACCATGGTAAATTGTATTGTTTATTTATCTAAACATCAAGGCACTATTTTATTTTTATAACATTTTATTTGTCTATCAGTCAAAGAAAGTCCATCCCTAGTGAAGTGGATTATGGTTTTACGAGTAAAGCTCGTTAGCATTAAAATAAAAAAATTACTTTTTTTTATAATTTTTTAATTCAAATCAAGTTTATGTTGTTTTAATAAACTAGTTACTAAAATCACGATACATGCAAAATACAATGACTATTTATTCCTGGTATTTTCAATATAAATTATGTAATGTATTTTTCTTTTGCATTTTTCATATTAAAAATGCAAACATGATTTTATTGGAGAAACATGGCCATATGTAATTAAAAAATAATATTGCATTTTTTGAAAGAGAGATTTTTAATTTTTTTTTTAAAATAGTTTATTTAATACTATAAAAGTGCCTCAAGTTTAGGTTTATAATTCAAAAAATTAAATATGAAAGGTTGAAAAAATAATATAAAATATTTAAAATTAACTCCTTTCAAGGTTTGAAAAATAATTAAAATTAAACTAGGACTTGTTTAGAAAAAAACCAAAAAAATAAAAACTATGAAAAATATGTTAGAAGATGTTTGCCGAAAAACGTTCATAGCAAAAAAACCACAAATTAAAAATTGCTTTAGGAATAAAAAAAATAAAAAAATCACCTTTTCTGGACAGATTTTGACTCAACCTTGAAGGGCCCGGCCCAGACACATGAACTAGGTTTTCTAACCCTGGTTAATGGACCAAAAAATACAGCCCACAAAGCAACCAAGACAATCCAAGGTTCTTTACACATGAACCAAAAAGAGAAAACAAAGCCCAACGTTTCACGACCACAAATCTAAAGACCCAAAGCGCGAGCTAAAATAGAACGCAGCCCAAGCATAGCCTATGTAATCAACAAAAACAAAGCCTGTAGAAATAATTTACTTAGCTCCTGCAATCAATAGAGACAAAATGCTTAGTCCAGATACTCTCGCTAGCATTGGTTGGAGCTGACTCCAGAGAGGTCAGAAAGAAGAACGATAGAACCAACGAGCTGAAGCTTTACAGGGACGACGTTGGTGTCTTCTCTTTTTACGTCTTCTCTCTCTTTTTCTTTTTTTTTATCGTTGGTTCGTTGAGACTAAGGTGTGGGTTTTTATGGAGAGTAGACTAGCTAGTTTTGTAAAGGACTGTTGCTGGTATGGGTCTGAAATATCGGTGTTTATTGCATCCTTTCCCCCCTCCGCAAGCTTCTCCAGGATTTTTCTTTTTTTCGCTACAACTCCCTCCTAATCTTGAACTAACAGGGCTATTATTTATAGGAGGCAAGAGAAGGGTATCGACACTTTTCCTAGTTTAAAACTTCACCCTTAAACCTACTTTGACTGATCATTGCCCTTCGCAATAAACGAAAAAAACCATTTGCTCTTAAACTAGACTGTCAAAGGCTCACTGAGTCAGGGGCTTTATACCAGCATTGCAACAGTTCCCCGGGTGACCACTCGGGGGGAACCATGCTGGAGGCGTAGAAAATGTCAGGGCTATCGGAGG